TGAGCCATGATCCATTTACTCATAGTGGCCTCTCAGATTCTCTTGATTAGATTCCCAGAAAACATGCTTAAGGATAAATAGCTTCAACTTTATTTTAGAAATAGTCTTCCAGAAAAGGCAAAAGGTCCAGCTGGCAAACAGAGAATGTTACTATAACCACAGGAAGTAGGCATGAAATAAATAATTTATCAATTCAAACATTAGGCACAAAAAATAGCACAGCTAGAAAATAAATATTAAAACAAAGAAGCAAAACTCTCCTTTCCCTCACATCAAAAGGGCTCTGAGGCCCAAGGTACTACTTATCTGAAGTGATCTCTTGAGTTCTCATTTCTAGTGCACTGGTACTAGTCAAGGTTTTGTACACATTTTCTGAAATTTCATTCCTAAAGTCTTGGGTGCAATATTTTCTCTTTTCCTAACTAAGAAACTAACTGACCATCATGATCCCAAGTCCTATTATATCACCAAGATCATGCACTGGGTCAAAATTAAATCCATGGAAACAGTGTTCCCTCTCTCAGTGGACTAAAAAAGCAAAGTTATTACCATGACTAGAAATGGATGTGTTGAACAGCCTATTTGTTACATAATCAAACTCCCCAAAAATCAAACACGGTGACATGCTACATAGTGATGAAGATAGGTTCTGAGAAGTGAATTATTAGGCAACTTCATCCTTATGTGAACATCACTGAGTGTACTTACGCAAACCTAGATGGTGTAACCAACCACACCCCTAGCATTTATGGTATATAACCACTGTCCTTAGGTACAAATCTGTATAATATTTTACTGTATTGAACAGGGTAGGCAACTGTGGCACAGTGGTAAATATCTGTGCATATAAACATAGAAAAGATGCAGTTGAAAATACTAGGTCATAGGAATTAGCTCCATTACAATCTTAGAGGACCAGTGTCATCTAAGTAGTCTCTTGTTGACTAGAACATCATTATTCAGCACATAACTATAGTTGAAATCTTACATTACTTCCGTATCCTGCCATTGTCAATGTTAGTAAAGAAAAATCTACAAAGAAATAGTAGGAATTAGAGCCAAACGAGAAATTTTACTCATAATCTTCCAACTACCCCCATGTGGAAAGTGAGGCTCAGAAAATTTGTCCCAGGTCACATTCTTATTACACAGTAAAGCAAGGATTCAAACTCAAATCTGGGGCTAGGGATTTGGCTCAATGGTTCTGCCACCTGCCTTGCAAGCGCAAGGATCTGAGTTCGATCCCCGGTACCAAAAATAATAATAATAACAAACTCAAATCTGTCTGATTTAAACAAATGTTAAATTCATGTACAAAGCAATGGAGGAAGATTCCTCTAGTCAAAATCTGGTTTGGTTTTGTTTCTTTTCTTTTTGGTATCAGGGATCAAACTTGGGTCCTTGTGCTTGTAAGATGTGAGGCAGCAGAACCACTGAGCTAAATCCCCAGACTATTATTTTCTAATGAAACAAAACAAAACAAAACAAAACCCTATTTTCCACAAATTCTCAGTTCCTTATCCATAAAACAGAAAATAAGTCTGTTTATCTTTTAGGACTTCCACAAAGATAATACATAGAAGGGGCTCAAAAGAGTACCTCATATGTAGTAAGAGCTCAGGATATGATGCTATCATCTTAACTACACTGTTTATAGATGAGACTCACAATATAATCTCAGAATATAATTTATCTTTACCTCAATGCTATCAACTTTCTCTCCTGAGAGTTATGGACATCTTTACAATAATATAACTTCTAATTAAGTAACATAATGATACTATTTCCTTGTGTTGTTTACTTTTGTTTAAAAAGAGCAAGCATGGTGGTACATGCCTGTAATCCAAGCATTCAGGAGGCTGAGGCAGGAGGATTGCCACAAGTTTGAGGCTAGCCTGGGCTCCATGGTGAGTTTAAGGCCAGTTTGAACTGCAAGGTGAGACTCTGTCTTTAAAAAAAAAATTAACTCTTACTTTGTCTTAAACCATATTACTTTTAGTAGAAACAGAATAATGAGAAACTCCACATAAAAGAAAAAATCTAGGTCAGAAAAGATTTTTCCTCTTAAAATCAATTTGGGGAAGTATAAAACTATCAACATACTGTAATTCAAGCATATATAGTAAGTATATATTAAGTGTTTGATCTACAGCTTGTACAAACAGCCTAAGACCCAGTGTTTGCCCTTAAGGTCTTCCTAATCCAACAAGGACAGATTTATACACACTACCAACTTGTGGAAAGAATGTGCTAAGTACCAGAAGAGAGTTCCATTTACGTTCTGTTGGGATCAGAACAGGGAAGGTGGCATTTCACTTTGTAGAAACATCTGAAATTAATATGAAGAATGAGTCGATGTTCTTTTCCTTTAGAGACAAAAGAGTTTGGTAGTTCCTCAAAAAGTTAGTTATGGTATAACCCAGCAACTGCACTCCTAGGCATAAAACCAAAAGAATGGAAACATTTATCCATGCAAAATCTTGTATGTGAATGTTTAGAGACATTATTCATAATAGAAAAGTAAAAACAACCTAAGAATCCATTGAGAGATGAAGGGATAAACAAAATGATTTATTCATACAATGGGATATTATTCAGTCATAAAAAGGAATGAAGCACTGATATACAACATAACATGAAAGGGACTTGAAAACACTGGTATGTGAAAGAAGCCAAAAAGAAGCAACGTCTTGCATGATTTTATTTATATGAAATGTCCATAGAAACAGAAAGCAGAAGAAGGGTTACCAGGGACTGTAGTAAAGGAAAATGGACAGCAACTAGGTATGAAGTTTCCTTTTAGAGTAAGAATGTTCTGGAATTAGTGGTGCTGATTGTTCAACTTTGTGAATATACTGAAAACACTGAGCATACACTTTAAAATGAAGGTTTATGGTATGTATTCTATCTCAACAAAGTTGTTATTTTTAAAAAATGAGACAGCAAAAGGGGCTGGGGATTTAGCTCATTGGTTCCACTGCCTGCCTCGCAAGCGTGAGGACCCAAGTTTGATTCCCGGTACAAAAAAAAAAAAAAAAAAAGTTAAAAAATGAGACAGCATAAAGCTGAAGACTCTTTCACCACCACTCTCACACAAATCTCTATGGTCACCAATATTATTAGTGTAGTATGATTCCTCGTTATACCACCTTAATTCCTCAGAATGTGTAGCAGAAATTTTTGCATACATCAGGTATTTCAGGCATTTGATGCACAGTAATTCTGAACAAAGATACTACTATGTTGTTCTCTTCACAATGCTTTTTTTTGCACCATCACATAAACTCAGTTGTCCCAACAAGGTAGCTATAAAGGAGAGGTTTACATTAACAGCACATCCCACATGAAGTAACAAAGAGCACAGTATTTACTGGCTCAGGGCTCACCAACAACAAATCCAGTTAACTGAAAACCCTGATATGAAAGTTTGTGCAAATAAGACACTTGTTTATGAAGGGCTTGGGATAACGGGATTAGAAAGCTGCAACTTTGGATCACACAAGATCAAGCAGTAATCTTTGTTAAGTTCAAATTAAACAGAGGCTTCAGATAGTCTCATATAAAGACTTGTTCCCAGAACAAAATTGTATTTCCAATATTTTTCCTCCCAGAGGTTTTTAATTAGAGAGTATGTCACTTGAAGTCATTGAGGAGCTTTTAAATACAATACAACTCTGCACCCCATACTTCAGAGGTTTTGATCTACTTAGAAAAGAACACGCTGGCATTAAACAATTTGGTTTTAAAGGCTCACCAGGTCATTTGGAAATATTTAGTGTTAGAAACCTTTACAAATAATGGACTGGAATTTGGGTTTCAAATAAAGTTTCCATGCAAATCATCTAAACATCCATTTAACAATCAAATTTAGTATGATTAACACATGTAATACCTGCCATCAGAAGACTGTGGGCATATCTTAATTTCATTCAAGAGAAAACCGGGACTCAAGAATTTGTTCCTCCAAGTTATCAAGAAGGACAAGCAAGCATGTAAGAGTCACAGTGATGACCTTAAATCTTCTTGATACACACTCTCCAATCTCCTTTATAATGCTGAAATTGTGAACGTGAGATTTGGCAGAAGGAAACCAGTCTATACCTACTTTTAGCCACAGCTTAGATCATTTACTCTGGGCCTCAATATGATGGAGAGTAAAAGTATTTTTGAAACAGTTCCTAGTTTGGGTCCTTGTACTGACAGGGCAGTTTTTCTTCACGTACTCCATATATGAAATTCCTCCTTACTTGCAGATGAGATGAAGCTGAAAAGCAGGATAGGACCTAAAAGCCCTGGCCACATGAGAAGGGTAAGTAAAATAGAATCCTACCCCTTCTGGCCCTAAGACAAGAGGGCAGGGCAAAATAACAAAAATATGACTCTCATTCACACATCCTCTACACAGACACTCCTCCACAATGGGTTCAACTCAGATAGCAATAGAGCTTCAGAAATATTAAGACTCCATTTTTCCAGAGATAACATGGACGTGGGTTGCAGACTACTAAGTGCATTCTTCAGCTTATTCTGTGCCAGTCAGTATATGGGATAGGAGCAAGTACCCAGATGCAGCAGATGGAGGAAGCAAAAAGAGGAGCTTCGGATAGTACTGTTCAGTCTTTACAGCCTAAACAAGGCATGTAGGGGAGAGACTGGTGAACCAGAAGAGATCTGTGGTTGAAGCAGTTTCCAGTGTACACAGTCTTGGAGACAAATGTCCAGCACCACCTCCATAGGCAGTTCCTGCACATGACTACCAAAGGAAAAATTAATTACGACTCAACAGATAACTCCAGGATACATTCTTAATTAGATGATGATGTGGCAGATGCCATACAGATATCCTCTCCTAACTCACAGAGACACAATAAGCACTCTCTTGCAGTAGTCAGTAATATGTACAAAATATCAATGATTTGCCAGACACTGATCTCAGCTGATGATGATCTGGAGACAGGTAACAGAAAAAAATCTCTTCCAGCGGCCGGCCGCGTGTGGGAGGCAGAAGTGCCAAGGGACTGCGGCCCCAGTCCTGGCTGTGGCTACAGACTGTTACATAACGTGTTTCCGGCAGACAGCAGTCTCGTGTTTCAGCTCCCTGTGCCCCCAGGATGTACTCAGCCTCGAGATGTCCAGAGCCAGCCAGAGGTGTGAATGACAGAGGTGGTGCTGTCCAGTGTGCACAGCAAGGTCAGCCTCTGCCATGATGACACAGACACCGTGAAGAATGTTCCTAGAGACTGGTTTCCCCATTGAGTATCCAGACTTGTGATACCAGACTCATGATATCACGTCCAACAATAAGTTCTTCTCCTCTGCTGCCACCTATACAGGCGCCATAGTGGAAATGATAATATCTGAAATTAAGGACAGGACTAAAATACATAAAGGGATGGAGACAGTCTAACCTGCAACTTCTCTGTGCACACTGGTTGTGCACATTCTAAGTCTTGGAGTAGTGAAGGAATTCAGAAAGCACAGCATAGGTTCCCTTTTACTTGAAAGTTTAAAGGATCATATATCAACCACCGCCCAGGATCACTGCAAAGCCATCCACCTGCACATCCTCACCACCACCAACAACACAGTGATAAACTTCTATAAAAACAGACTTCAGACAGTGTCACTATCTGCCTTACTACTACTCCATCCAAGGGGTCCTCAAAGATGGCCTCACTTATGTCCTATAATCAGTGGTGCACCCTCCCTGGACCATATTAGACTACATCCAGCACTTGGGCTCAGCATTAGCCAACCTGAGCCCCTGCTCCATCCCACTCAGGATCTACCGACAAACCCATAGCCTACTCTGCAGCTTCCTGCCATGGTCAGGTATCTCCACCAAGAGCGGCATAAGTACAGTTGTACCATGCCAGTGAGGCAGCCTCCACCAGGTCCTACACCTTACTATCCTGCAGAGCCCACCTTCCTGTCCATCTGCCTCTGCAGCGCTCCACAAGGAGTTGGTGGCCACTTGCCAGCCTGCTGGCCTGCCCCAGCTGCAGGTCGGGTGCTACATGGGCAGAGCATGCATCCCGTTTCCAACAGGCTCCCTGGCTCTCCTCCTTGTTTCTGGAAACTTCTGTCTCCACCTAGAGCACTTCTGCCAGGCCTCTCCCACTGTACTGCCCTCCTGTCATCTCCTTCCTGCAACACCAGACTGGACTTTCTGCTGTAAAGGAGTAACAGTGTATGGAAACCCTTGAACCTTAAGACATAGGAACCTCAGAACAATAGAACTACAGTCAAGGGAATGCCAGGCCTTTTGTTGAGGACCAGCCTGAAGAGTGAGAGGCTGGAAAAGGGTGGGCAGAAGGGGCATAGCTCTGCACAAGAGCATAGCCTCTGGCCCAGGCAATTAGACCACAGGACGGTTTTCTGCTCCTCTGTGGCCTCCTGCTACACACTTCCCATTGTTTGGGGAGAACATCCCGCCTGTAGGCTCCATGCAGCTGACCTGTGCCGGGAGCTGGCCTGCAGACAGGTAATGGTGAGGTTCCCTGGGGCCCTACCCTGCCTGTCTTCTATGAGCTAAAGCTCCAAGGCCTGGCCAGATACAAGAGGAGGTCAAGCCCCACACTGGGCAACGCTGCTGCCATGGGCTGGTGTGGCCTTGTCTTAAGGGCAGGAGACAGTCTATGCTTATGGCCCTTTAGACTCCAATAGCAAAGGCTGTGTCAACCTCATAAATCATTCTTGCAGTGTACATATGTCACACGCTTCTAGCATCCCTCACCTTGAACCCCTAGGCTACTTGCTGCTGTGTCCTACCCAGCACTACTGCATTGCCACAGGAACCAGGGAAGAATGCCGTTTCAGTCCCTTGCCGTGCAGCCTTAAGATGAGAGAGGAACAGCTCTGCAGATAGGCTCTTAGTGACTGAGTGCTTTCTTCCTGGACCAGGCCTCCTTGAATCCTCAAAGGGTCCTCACCATGCAGGCAGGCCCCAGGTAGGAAAAAGATCTCCCCCCAACAGTGCTGGTCAGCAGGTGGCCCAAATTATGCTGACGAGCATCAGCTCTGTGCTGAGGCCCCATATTTGAGTCTTCTCTCAGCAGTGATCATGTGATTTTCATTTCTGACCCATGTGGTCAAAGAGAGTCTTCCAGAAGGTTCTCTCCCTTGGACATTTATAATCCAGATCAGAGGCCTTGCCCTGCCCTCCCTCCTGTCCTCTAATCACAGTAGTGTCCAGCCCAGTATTTAATAGATTGTAGTGTTTTGTCTCATTATAAATAAATAGACTATAACTGGTCAAAAAAAAAAAAAAAGAAAAAAGAAAAAAATCTCTTCCCCAATTAAAGAAGATTATGGGATGAAGAAAAGGTAGTGGGTTTCACTCTGAAGGATACAGTGTTTATCCAGGGAACCTTGTTTAGAAAGTTGAACTTTGAAAAGACTTAAAGGAGACTGTCCTGAAAAGTAAATACTACTGTAGCAGGTTTTTAAGGCCACAAATTCTTTGACACTCCAACTAACAAGAGGTTGGAAGTCTACATTCCATTTCCTTAAAATGGACTTCCACCAATACAGTGTGGCAAATATTAACAATATGCAACTTCTAAAGCCAGACTATCTATCTATCTATCTATCTATCTATCTATCTATCTATATATGGGATTGAACTCGGGACCTTGTACTTGCGAGACAGGCTGCGGTACCACTGAGCTAAATTCCCGGCCCTAGATCACTCATTTTAAAAGACCTGAAATTTCCATCCTGGCCACTAAAACATTTCACTTTTGGAGCCCCTGAGCCACCATGTAAAAAGTTCATCTGGTTACTCAGAGACCAAATGGGTTGAGGAAGTTCAGGCTGCCATAGAGGATCCTTTCAAGTGGTCCAATCAACAGCCCCAGCTGAGCAGAGCCTTTGATTCATCTTTGCCCTGGTGACAGACATGTGAGTGAATGAGTGAAGACGCTTTCAGATGTCTCCTAGCAGTGAAGTCACCCTGAGCCATTCAATCATTCCCAGTTGAGGCCCTAGATACAGGGGAGCACAAATAAATTCCTGTTGTGGTCTGTCTGAACTCCTCACCCACAAAATCTGGGAGCAAAATAAAATGGCTGTTTTATGTCACTGAGTTTCAAGTGTGCTTTACAATGTTCAAAGATTTATCATGAAGCAAGTTTCTAGAGCAACAGCTAACTGAGAAAGAAGCAGATTAGCTAGAGAAAAACATAAAACTATTTTCTTTGTCTAATCCTAGTCTGAAAGAAACTATTATCCTACTACAGGTGACTAAATACGATGTAACACTCTTGATTATTGAGGATATCTATTATCTACAAATATTAGAATAGAAAAAGTTTCAGTTCTCAGGAAGAACTGGAATAGTCCAGTACAATCTGAGTAAGACACTACTCCCTTGCCTCATTTTGTAAGGTGGAACTAACATTCTCATGATAGGATTTAGAGCTGCCCATGAACCCATTTTTGCTTCTTTTCCTTGGTGCATGGAACATAATAGGCACACAGTAACTTTTTGGAATGACTGATAGGATCCAAGCAGTTAGGGGAGAGAAGATTTTCCAGACAAAGCAAAGGGATCATAGTGAACAAAGGTAATAAAAATGGGAGTGCTGGGGAAAATAGATTGGGTCACCAGAATCTCATTTTTCATTCCACCCCACTCATACACCTTTGCTCAACATGCATATGCTCACATCTTTAGGCCTTTAGTTAAGCAGTTCTCATTATTTGAAAACTCTGCCTATTTACTGAACTCTTACTCCTTTTTCAAACCCCAGCTCAAATCTTCACGTTCTCTTTAGCTTTCTGACACTGTCCCACTCCAAGTGGAATTAATGACGCTGTGCCACTTTCTTGCAACATTTCTCACAACCGTATCTCCTCCTGCTTGGGTGCTGATGTGCCACATGCTAGGTCAGAAGAGAAAAATTGCTGCCCTTGAGGATTTCATGTTAAAGGGAGAGACATCTAAAAACAGTCATCTTGCAGTATGTAAAAGCAATACTGAGGGATGGCAGGATTATGTGGGAAGATGAATCTTGTTCAAGAGGAAATCAAAAAGTGCCATAAAGTAGGTGATATCTGAGGTAAGCTCTGAAACTAAATTAAAATCAAAATGCTATATGGGGGAAAGCTATAGAATCACAATTTAAAAGGTATCAAAAAGGAACCACTAAATTAACAGGAACATCTGGTCAGGTCAATTGTCCTTACCTACTTTGGAGTCTCTGCTCAAGTTACTCCAAGTTCTCTTTTTGCAACCCTGAAGCTGCTCCATCTTTCTAAATACACTAGCTATTTATATCACAAAGTATCTGCTAGTTAAGCCTATCAATCTGACTGTCTTGGGAACTGGGATAGGTAAAACACATTTCTGGATGTGTCTGGGTGGATCATAGAGGTGTGACCTTGTGTACTACACTGTCTGACATACCTTCTTCTCTGGTACTGTTTCCCTGTTCTGCTTCCTAGCCCCCAAGAACTAAGCATCTTTGTTCCTCAATGTTTCTGCCTTGGAGCCAGCCAACCATGGATGGACTCCACTGAAACTGTGTGCCAAATAAACCTCTCCTTCAAGCTGTGGGTGTCAGAGGACTTGTCCCAGCAAAAGAAAAGTTGACTAATATAGTATCTAACATCCGAACAAACAATTCATTAAAAAATCTAGTTGATAATACATGAAAATGTATTCAAACTCAGTAGTAACCAAAGAAATCCCAATTCAAAATTATAAATGGTAGTATAACGTCTAAAATTATAATGTCTAGTATCAAAGAATCATGAAAAACAAAACTATCTTTCTGAGTTAATTTGTTATGGTCTACCAAAAGCATTATGAATAACTGTGCCTTTAATTAGAAATTTCATCTAATTGATCCCCAGTACCAAAAAAAAAAGAAAAGAAGAAATTTCATTTACAGGAATTCATCAAAGTACAAGCCTTCACTGTAAAGATACCATTACCTAAAATACTGATGGGCTGAGAACATATCTTGGTAAAGTGTGTGAGCCTAGCATGCATGAGGCCCGGTGAAATGTTAGTACCTAAATAAATGTCCAAGGAAAGAAGCATCAAATACTGCAAACGTGCCACTATGATAATGATAATACTTACCATTTATAGAGTGCTTCTAACATGTCTGGAATGATCATATTTATTATCACAGCAATCTATCAGATAATTATGCTGGAGAATATTGAACAAGACTCTCCAATTGGTAAATAGAACCCACAGCAAGACAGGTGAGTTCACACAATATAAAGAGCATTCAACGTTGGAGCTGGACTAATTCAAGGATTTTTGAAGAAGTTATAATACGAGGCCTAGGACTTAGCTCAGTGGTGCTGCTACCTGCCTTATAAGCACAAGGTCCTGAGTTTGATCCCTGGTACCAAAAAAAAAAGTTATAGTATGAGGCTGGGCACAATGGTACACATTTGGAATTACAGCTACTTAGGAAGCTAATGCAAGAGGACTGGTCTGGGAAACTTAGCAAGTCCATTCCTCAAAGGAGAAAAAAAAAAAGAAAGAAAAGAGGTGGAGAATGCAGCTCAAGGATGAAGTGCTCCTGAGTTCACTCTGGGGGTGGGGGGGGAGCACAGTTTTAAATTCTGATTAGAGAAAAACACAAATGCTTTACATTTGCATACCTCTGAGGAACAACTATTCAATTAGCCAATCAAAGGTATCATTATCTCCATTTCACAAAATAGGAAATTAAAGTTCAGAAAGATTAAGAAACTTGCCCAAGCCCACAAAGCACATGAGAGGCTTAGTTTGGATTCCAATCCAGGGTGAACCTCAGAGCCCATGCTTTTCAGTTTAGAGATTTTCAAACACAAATCTTCACAGATCTACAAATCCACTTCAAAAATTTGTTTTTTGTTTTGTTTTTTTGAGACA